ATCAACCAATCAATCTGTAGCTGTATCTTTCAATCTGGCTAATTGCTCGAAACGATGTTAGACAGTAGCAAAATGGGTTGGATGGATGGATGGATGGATGGATGGGTTGAAGTGTGTGCCACAAACCCAACAAACTTCCAACATAAAAACCACTGAATCTGGCCCTGCCAATGCCTCTGCCTCATGCATAAGTCATAAGGAAACAGCAGCTCGCAGATCCAGACAATGAATGGATTTTTTTCTTTATATTTGCTGCGAAAACAAAGGTGACTTTTGTGTGGAGCAAATAGAAAACAAAAGTTACATCAGTTTTGTGTCTGGGGTGGGGAGGAGGGCTGGGGGCATAAATTAGCATCTCGCTGAGAAAAAATCAAAGAGAGAGGCAAGCAAGGCTCTCATCTCTCACCTCTTAGGCGTAGAACTCGAAATGGAACCAACGCGTTTTTCGTTTGCCTCTGAAGTTTCGCCCAATTAGTGGAGCCATCAAAGCAGCAGACTCCCAGACTCCCAGACACAGTTCAGTGGCATGGAAAATGATGCCACACACACACACACGCACAACCCAAAGGTTGCTCTTTCTTTCTGTTGTGCTCTTTCTTTCTTTTTTATTGATTTTCCCTGAGGCATTTTTGCCTGCCCTGACATTAATTTAATTGTTTGTCAGCATCTTTGAACCCGGCATGGGGTTGGGCGCTGTTGCTGGTGTTGGTGCTGGGGCACCCACTCATGTGCCCCAGAGAGCTGAAGCTGCCCTGTCACTCGAGTGCGGTAATAAATTATACAAAATTTAGAGCGATTACAGGGCCAAAGCCTTTGCCATCGATTGATCTGTGCCGCCGCCGCCCCCCACCCCATATAGATAGGTTTCCTGTTCGAATTTTGAGCTGCAATCGTAGATCCAATCGTGAACTTGGCATTCGACGTCTTTCGGTTTTTTTTTTTTTTTTTTTTTTCTGTGGCAATTGTCGAAGCACTTGGCCCAATGACAAGTTTATTTTTTTTTTTTGGCTGGCCCCTCGGGTGCTCCGTCTCCCCACTTTATCAAGATTCGAGCCTTTTGGGTTTCTCTCTCTATCATTTTTTTTTTAGCCAAGAATCACGTACAATAAGTCATGGGAGAAGAGCAGGAGGGGGCGCTTTGGTTTCTTCAGGTTTTTGCGGCATTACGGCGCATGTGGCAGCGGCGTGTTGTGGCATAAGCGAAGTCGAGTCCAAAGTGAAGTTCCCTCGAAAGTCACGTGCAGGTCCTTTTGTCCTGCAAAGTCCTTCAATCCAATAACCTACTTTGTAGTTGAAGCAACTAAATCCGAGCCAACTTTAGTTGTTCTTCTTACGTGTTCTTAACTCGTTTCTGCCTTAGTTGGTGGCTAAAGTTAAGTCTGGACTAATGTTAGCTACAGCCACTGTTAAGGGCTGAAGCTCAGCTTTCATTGTTATAATATTGCTGGAGGCCAGTGTTGGTCCTCCAAACTGAAGTTCTACTGCTTACTCGCTCGCACTCACATTTGATTTACCTTTAGAGAGAACAAACAGAAGAGCACGAAGAGCGCAACAGTTTTGTTTTTGTGTGTGGCTTGCATACACGCACACGCACACGCGTACAGATCAGCCGATAAGCACAAACAAAAGTTTGCTCTCTCTCTCTCTGCCTCGCCTTCGTTTTGAGTCGTGTGCTGGGAGGACAACAACCGTTAATGCGTTTGCGTAGGCGGACAGGCACATGCGGGCACTTTTTTTGTGAGTGCGGAGTGCGGGATTTGAGCGCGACTTTGAGTGCGAGAGACTGCGAGAATTGCTCAAGAGTGGGTCAAAAATACTGTACTTATTCGGTAGCAGAGTAACACCTGAAAACCTTATAATGTTGGCTGCCAGTGTAACTACTCTTGTGTCCAAAAGTAAACCCTGTCTAATATTGGCAGAGGCCACTGTCAGCGCAGCACTTTGCATTATTCGATGCTGCCCAATTTTTGAGTATGCAAATATTTATGGTGCCCTGCTCAACATGTCAAACCAGCACTGTAACAGCAGACCAAAAACCACCCACAAAAGTTCCTTCAAAATAGGTTCGAAATTGGGTCCAAAAGGGGGCCAAAACAGCTCCAAAAAAGAGGCAGAGCCAGAGAGAGACAACACACAAATCCCAAAGAAGATAAGATACCAATCTCATGCTGCGATATTAAAGCCGCTGACATGCCAAATTATCCCCCCAAAATTAAAGACAAACACAGAAAAAACAGAAACAAAAACAGAAAAAAAAAACAAAACAAAAAGCAACAGAAAAAAAAAAATGTTTAAAAAATTGGAAAGTGATAAATGGTTTTGGCCTGGTCAAGAGTCGTCGCTTCACCATACAGATAGATAATGATTGTTGTTTGGCTTTGGCTTTTGTCCAGTTATTTGGCTCAATCTTTGCATAGAAATTAGCCTGGAAAAATGTGTAGAACAGAAAACCAAATAGAACTCGTAACTGAACTGAGAACCGAACCGAACCGAAAGAGAACTCCAATTTGCTTGTGGAATGGATAAGATAGACAGACAGACAGGCCAGCCTTCTGTCGACTGTCTGTCTACTACTAACTGGGCTAACAACAGCCACTGCCGCCGCTGTTTGGCCGCCTTTTGGCAGCGTTTTGGGGTCATGTAGCTGTAGAACTCGAACGAAACGAAACGAAATGGAGATGAGCCACGGAATGAAGCTCAAGCTGAAGATGCACAGCCTGAAAAAAAAACTCCAATGTGGCTGGAATGGTGGCATAATGAGAGCAGCAGTGCAGCCAGCCTGTGCCTGTGCCTCAAGATCAAATCAAAAATTGTCGAGAAACAAGCTGTGGCACGGGAAGGGTAGTGTGGGGGCCATGCGACTAATGCGAGGCATAAATAATGGCTACAAGCAACGACAGAGACAGAGATGCCCATAAGCCCCAAAAAGTCTTCAAGTAATTAAGTCAAAAATAGCCAACAAGTCACAGGGAAAACTGTAGCGGGGGGTGGGGCACACGAAGGATTGAGGGGGCGCCAACGGAAGTGTTTATGTTTTTTTTTTGGATGTTTTGTAAATTATGTTTACAAAAGAGAAGAAAAGCCCCTAGGGCCCCCAGCCTTTTGCTGCTTTTGGGAAAAATCCCTTTTGATTGTCAAGTTCATAGAAAATGAAAATCATATATATATACAACCCGCCATCCCCAGCCCCAATCCATTGCTTTTGTATCTGGAAAAACTGTGACAATGATAATTATGAACAAAACTATGCCCAGGGCCACGCCCACATTCAAGAGCTTAATGCCCCATTGTTTTTTGCGTACAGTTTTGCTATGGTTTTTCCTTTGGCTTAGCCCATTGCCTTGATGTGTCGCTCTCACAGGCAGAAAGCCATAACCAACCGCTAGATATCAATTACCGCGAGAGTCTAATGCGAAAATAACAAGTGAAAAGAAACAGCCACACAACAAATGCCAAGAAAATGCCAAGGAAAATGCCAAGGAAAGGTGTGGCTGTGAGGGTGTTAACTGACCAACAAAAGCAGTCCAAAAGAAATGAGTAAAATGAGCTTGAAAGACGCTCAATTGTTGCATTGAGCGAATTAAATGAAGCACAGAATGGACACACAAAAAACGCTGTGTGTGGCAGGTGAAAGATGGAGCAGATAGAGCTACCTGGACAGAGAAAAGATATAGCTACTTAGACAGAAAAAAAAAAGAGACAAAGCAAAGCAAAGTAAAAGTAAAGGAAACTGTTGCAACTACCAGAACTTATGCAACTTACGATTGAACAATGAATTCCATGGGGCATATTGTCCATCAAAAGCTCTCTACAAAAAGTGAGCTAAAGCTGCTGGAAACTTATGGCAATTTTCCCATTGAAATAAGTATTAGATACACAAGCAGCAAAGTAACTTTTGTAGCAAGCTAATTGACTGAATAATGTCAACTACAGACTACAGACTTTGATTCTTTTACCAAATGAAATGAAAGGGTAATAAAAAGAAAAGAGAGCTTGTGCTCGATAGTAATTTCTCAGAATTGAAAAAACTTTGAAAGTTGCATAAAAAGTATATTTTATCACACAGAAAATTCGTTCGATAGCTCTTTAAAAACTCCATTAATTTTCATGCATATTTTCCCAGAGCCCCCCACAACTCTTTTTCCACCTAAATGGTACTTTTCCATTTCCCTGTCGCTCTACTGTCGCCGGGTACTTTGGTATTTTGGCTAATTGAGCAGCTTGCCCTGCGGATCAAGCGAACGGTTTTTCCTCATGCATATTTGTGCAACAATCTGTGTGGCATGATGGATGCCTTTTTGATGAGCCACAGTCGAAAGCAGCAGCAGCAGTAGACGCGCTGCTTTCCCCCCACAAAACACTCTCTTTTTGTTGTGTCTGTTGATGCAATTTCCCTGCTGTCACATTCCTTTGGTCTCTGCGGTCGTCAGTCGCAAGCTGCTGCCGGCGTTGCATTGTCATAATGAATGCAACGTCCATCAGGTATACATATGTACATACCCTTTCCCCATTATCTACGTCTGCCCATTGGCCATGCCCATTGGCCACTGCATTGCGTTTCTTTTCCCCATTGCCTATTGGCCATATGCCCAGATTTCTAGTTAACAAATTTCACCGCAAATTTAGTTATTTTCTTTGTGTGTTTGCCTTTTCATTGTGTGTGTGTGGAGTGGGGTGTGGGGGTTTTTGAGGTGTGCCTAAATGGGGGAAAATTGTTAATGCACTGCATGATGTGTGAAAAGAGCTACTGTTGGAAAGGGCAGGGGCAAATACGTGTAGAAAATGCACTAAAATATGTTTAAATTGTGTCACAAAAAAAGAAAAAAAATTTGAATAATATTGACACCCAAATATGGCAACAAATTTATTGATTCCCTTTGAAATTTCTTCGCTAAAATCTCAATTTAATTTAAAGACATTTAAGCATTTATTTTTCTTTCGTTTAGTGGATCCCCCCGATACCATTATCATTATCTATATACAGATATGTTGCTACCTACCCTGCTGGCGATGATCCCTGGCTGACGCTCTTCCCACTGCCACCGCCGGCCGTTACATGTATATGCCGCTGCGGCGGCGTCGGCTGGTGATGCGGCGACGATGTGGCAGAGACAGTGGGTGTGCTCTTGGCGCTGCCACCATTCGAAGAGGAACTGCCACCGATGCCACCAATGCCACCAATGCCACCAGACATGCCGCCACTGGCGATGCCGTGTGGCACCTTCCGCTTTGGTGATAGCTCCTGGGCATTCTCGCAGACGTTCTCCGTGTTGACGACCTGCTCGAGCATGTGTATCTTAAGCATGATTGATGTGTGGGATTGACAGCTACGATTGACTCCTGTGTTTCACTGAATGACTCAATGATTGACTGACTTGACTGACTGAAGGTTTGTTTTTGATGATTTTGGTTTTAGATTTTTGGTTTTGAAGTATTTTTGGTTTGGCTTTTTTTTGTTTGTTTGTTTGTTTTTTTTTCTTCTATTTATTTTTCCTTTTAATTTCCCTTAAAATTTTCCTTTTAATATTCACTTTTTGTTTCTTGTAGTTTTTCCTTGCGTTTTCACTCTTTTTCACTTTACATTTTCCTGTGGGAAGGGGGGGAAAACCCGGGAAAAACCGGTTGTAATTCAATTGGGAAATCAGATCAAGTGGCCGTCTCTCTGCCTCTCTCCCGCCCTTTTGGGCCGTTTTTTTTTTTTCCTGCCGGCGATTAATTAAATTTCAATGGACGTTTGCCTTTGCTTTTTCATTGGTCACTTGAGCGGCTGTAACTGTTTCGCCCCCGCACAATTTCCATAATGAATTTCCCCCATTTTACGATGTTGGGAAACCTCTAATTTCCCTGCCCGCGTTCCCTGCACACACTTTTCGCAATAAAAAGAATGGAAATTTAATAACTTTATGGTCGTAAAACTTCTGCTAACAAAAACAGAATATTTCTGCTGCTTGGTAAAAAAAAAAAAAAAAAACAAACAAAATCACTCAAAGAAAAACATTAGAGAAGGGTTGGTGGTTGGGGGGTTGGGGGTTTGGTTATTAAAAAGTAATGCCTGAAAAAAAGCTGAAAACGTCTGCCCATCGAGGCGAGGAAAAGCGCGTGAAAATGCGTGCAAACGGGGGAGACGAGACACATGTGGAAAAAAGGCAAAGACAAGAAGAAGAACAGCAGGAAAAGCAGAAAGCAGAAAGGAAAACCCTCATAAAGCGGCAAAGAAAACTCTGTTGTGTGTGTGTGTGTGTGCTTGAACCTGCCCCACTGACAATTGGCTTATGCCTCATCCCTACAAAAGAGAGCGAGAGCAACCTATGCCTGTGGCAGTGGCAGTGGCAGTGTGGCACGTGTCCAAGTGCTGCGGCGCCCCCTACGATGATTTATGATTTACGGCATTGACTGAAGGCATCTTCTCGTGTGGCCATCATCGCAACAGAAACCGCCATAAAACTTGGCAACCCATGCCATGCCACAATTCCTTGCCACATGCCTCAGTGGCTACGTTCTGTTGTCAGGTGCTCCACTCGCTGCTTGGATGACGTTGACGACGATGAAAGGGCCAACCACCTCTCTCTCTCTCTCTCTCTCTCTCTCTCTCTCGCTTAAGTGGTAATGTGCGTACATTATGAGAGTTCTGAATGGTTAAGCAGGGGGAGGGGGTCTGGGGAGACTCCTCTAAGACGTTTACCCAAGGAAAATACCATAGCATGGATGAAGGATGGCAGGGGGCGAACAGCAGAAGCTACTTAACCGTGGCTTGGAGTGGGCGGTGTGGGAGTTAACTGCCAGTGGCAATGAACAGCATGAAGAGCGGAGCAGATACTTTCGACTATTTTTCGGTTTAAAAAAATACTTTCGACTATTTTATATGGGTCTAAAAATACTTTCGACTATTTTTCGGTTAAAAAAAAATTACTTTCCATTATTTTTTATGGGTCTAAAAATACTTTCGACTACGCCCGAGGATAGCTTTTAGTCTGTAGATACAAGGCAACACTTTCCTTGCGTTTCTACTGCATTTTATGCATCAAACTTACAGCTTAATTTATTAATCTACCCATAAACATGTCCAAACACATTCCCAAAGACTTAACCAATCAAATACTCGACGCAATTACTGTCTAATTGCCACTTAACCAGCACTTTAAATTGGCCAAATTAAAGGTACACCAAAGGCAAGGATAAACCATATCGGAGTGCACATTTAATTGGTTTAATTTCTGTCAAAACACAACCCGAAAATACCCCATAAGTTATTAACACATTTTCTCATTAATTTTCTCCCCCCCACAAATATTACTTAATTTTCATGCGAATTTCAAAGATACATTACTTCATCTGTGTGGCACTAATGCCAGCAGCTCCCCCTCGATGATGATGATGTTGATGTTGATGACCCAAATTCGCATTAAATCTGTAAATCTTCTACGCAACATTTGGCAAATCATTTGGCTAAAAGATGCAGATACACAGGCAGACAGATACATTTAGCAGCACACACAGATACATTTAGCAGCACACACACACACACACACACAGAGATACAGTGATATATTTTGCTGTCGCTGTAATGCAATTACCCAATGTAAAATCGTATTAAGAGCAATCAAAATGTTGAAGCTGCCACACACAAAAATCCCTCTTCTTGCCACACAGCCTCTATTTGTATCTCTATCTTTTTTTTTTTTTTTTGTTCAACACGCAACTTCCGTTACGCGGTTGCAAATTCCTCATTTCCGCATGCGAAAAGCAAAAAATAATAAAGCAAACACCAACAATTCAGGTGCTAAATAAAAAAGATACATCATAATAGATTGAATTACGTGGCATAGAAAACAATTTGCAGCTACAAAAATGGGGCGGCTGTTTGCCGCGCGGTTTTTGCTCATTTTGTTGTTGTTGTTTTTTTGTTGTTGCATTATAAAAACGCATATAGAATAATTTATTTAAATCAGACGCTCAGTCGCTGAGCCGCAGCCACCGCCCCCGAACGACGACAACGACAAGACGACAACGACAAGACGACGACGACGACAACCATTTATGGGGTGGCATGCAACAACAGCAGCAACAACAACAACAACAACAGAATTATAAGAAATATCTATAAAAATTTGTATTCATTCAAATTAATGTCAAGAGATTTGCAAGGGAGAGTGAGAGATCAGAGACAAGAGTTGTGAGTCGAGAGAATTACGTGTGTGTGTGTGTGTGGGACGTTGGGGTGCACCGCCCAGTGGGTGGTCCCCCCATGCTCAGTCTTTCTTTAGAGGAGGTTCTAGCCGCTTTTTTGCACTCTCTGCTGTTCATTCAATTAGGAATTTTTCATTTTTCTTTTTATTGATTTATTGTGAGCCGTGGAGTTGCAAATGATATAAAAATCCAGCGTATGATTGAGTTAATGAAGCAACAACACAGAGAGAGATATGGGAGATACTTTACAGCAGATGAAGTGTGTCACAAAAGATACAAGTTACTTTTGCAGATGATGTGTGGCAAAAAGATACAAGATACATTTGCAGATGATGTGTGGCAATGTGTGGCAATTGTTTATTAATATTAACATATTATTATTAATATACTATTATACTATTATAAATATATAAATATATTATTATTATATTATATATTAATATTAATCAATTGTTTATTAATATTAATTATTATTATAATATTATATATTATTATATATTATATTAATATTAATCTCCCCCTCTGCTAAATCCCCCACCTTCTCTGTGTTCTTTCCTTTACTTTCTCTCTATTTATTCACTCCGTTTCACTTCTCCTATATCTTTCTCGTTCCATATATCATTTTATCGTATACCCTCATTTTCTCTCAATTATTCGACTGATAACTGTGTCAAGTGCTCGACATACTCAAACATTCGCTAACCCCCCTGTAAATATTTACCACCCTTTCCCTTTCCATATATTGTGAGCCCCCCACACAAATATTACCGTTGCGTCAACGTTTCGCAATCAGATTTCAGTTAGTAGACCAAAACCATATATCGATACGTCATTTAGGAACCGCAATCTCCACACTAAAACAACATTCTGTGACTCAATTGAGACGCTAAACCAAAGCAACCAAAGAACTCAAATTATTTCCTTATCAACAAAACTGCGAGATTGAAGTTTTTCTTATCGTAATACATAACATATTTCTAGTACAAAAAATTCGTTGCTTTTGGTGCTGAGAAAACCCCCGAAAAAAATTCTAAATTCCGTGCAACATCCGGCAGGCATTTTTGGCCAAATTCCAAGCTGGGGATTTGCGTACCATTTCCGGGTACAAGCAAACACTTCCCTATAGAGAGGGTCGTCCGTTGTGTATGTCGTTTGTCGTCTGTCGTTTTTTTGTTTCACATTTTACTCTGAATATTATGCTGCCTGTTGCTGCTGCTGTGCGTTGTGTGTTGTGTGCGTTGCACGTGTTCAAATATTTATGCCACGACAAAATGCTGTAAACAAATTTAGGCCCCATCTTTGGGGCAACAAACGTTAACAGCTGTCGGTTTTGTTTGTGCCACTGCCTTTGGGGGCGACAACTTTTTTTTTGGGATGAATTTTCCAATCGATTGTGACTTCTGTTGTGGTCTCTGCTTCTGGCTTCTACTCCGCTTCGGTGGCTGGTTGTTATATGTATCTCCCATTATGCTGTATCTTATCTAATCAGCTTCCAATTTTGTGGGCCTCACTAATCAGTTTTTGAATGGTTCTGCAACCTTGAAAGAGCGCTGCCACATGCACTCTAAATGTATCTCTGGATGTCCATTGAGTTGGGGAATCGTTAGAAATATTTCTGGCTATAAGTGATATTTAAATAAGAAATAAATTAATTTTAGAGACTCCTTCATAGGAAAACCTGGGCTCAGGGTTTTTCAAAATAATTTTTGCTAAAAACGTTTACTGAATTTTGTTGTATTCCCATCGGGAAATAAAACACAAAAATTATATTTAAAGTGCTGCTTATCGACTTGTTATTAATTTTGTTTCTAAGTGATATATTTCTGAGTTGTTTATAAATCCAAAGTTTTTCACTTGAAAATCATTGAAAATTGATCTCATAATCTCATGGCATATCGTATATGCCTAAAATAAACCTTAAAACCAGCCGGAAGAGCTTTGTTTATGGAGTTGCCAGACATAAACAACTATATTATTTCAATTTAGGTTTCTAAAACACTTTTAAACTTTGCAATTGTTTAAAAAAAAACATTTATAATGTTACCTTGGGATATAATTTACCCCCAATTAAGCCATATTTTATTTTCCATATTTCCCAGAAGTTTTTTAACGTATTTTTTTCTGTTGAATTTCTGCATACATTTTCCTTGTTAAATAAAATACTTAAATAATCTCTTCTATATTTACAATAACCTTTGGAAAATTCCAATAAATTTCCGCCATCATATCATTTACCCTTCAATTAATTCTATAAATACTATATATTTTTTACCCAAAAA